GTATAAAACATAAACATCACATGCAATCAAAATATGTGACATGATATGGCCATGATCATCTTGCGCCTTTGATCTCCATCTCCAAACTACTGTCATGATCTCTATCGTCACCGGCACGACACCATGATCTCCATCATCTTGATCTATATCAATGTGTCGTCACATGGTCGTCTCGCCAACTATTGCTCTTGCAACTATTGCTATCGCATAGCGATAAAGTAAAGCAATTATTTGGCGCTTGCATCTTATGCAATAAAGAGACAACCATAAGGCTTCTGCCAGTTGCCGATAACTTCAACAAAACATGATCATCTCAGACAACAACTTATATCTCATCACGTCTTGACCATATCACATCAGAACATGCCCTGCAAAAACAAGTTAGACGTCCTCTACTTTGTTGTTGCAAGTTTTACGTGGCTGCTACGGGCTGAGCAAGAACCGTTCTTACCTACGCATCAAAACCACACCGATATTTCGTCAAGTTAGTGTTGTTTTAACCTTCGCAAGGACCGGGCGTAGCCATACTCGGTTCAACTAAAGTTGGAGAAACTGACACCCGCCAGCTACCTGTGTGCAAAGCATGTCGGTAGAACCAGTCTCGCGTAAGCGTACGTGTAATGTCGGTCCGGGCCGCTTCATCCAACAGTACCGTCGAACCAAAGTATGACATGCTGGTAAGTAGTATGACTTGTATCGCCCACAACTCACTTGTGTTCTACTCGTGCATATAACATCTACGCATAAAACCTGGTCGGATGCCACTGTTGGGGAATGTAGTAATTTCAAAATTTCCTACGCACATGCAAGATCATGGTGATGCATAGCAACGAGAGGGGAGAGTGTTATCCATGTACCCTCGTAGATCGAAAGCGGAAGCGTTAGCACAACGCGGTTGATGTAGTCGTACGTCTTCACGATCCGACCGATCCAAGTACCGAACACACGACACCTCCGAGTTCAGCACACGTTCAGCTCGATGATGTCCCACGAACTCTGATCCAGCAGAGCTTTGCGGGAGAGTTTCGTCAGCACAACGGCGTAATGACGGTGTTGATGATGCTACCGATGCAGGGCTTCACCTAAGCACCGCTACGATATTACCGAGGTGGATTATGGTGGAGGGGGGCACCGCACACGGCTAAGAGAGATCAATGATCAACTTGTCTGTCTAGAGGTGCCCCCTGCCTCCGTATATAAAGGAGCAAGGGGAGGGGGCCGGTGGCCTCATAGGGTGCGCCCCAAGCGGGGAATCCTACTCCTACTAGGAGTAGGTTCCCCCTTTCCTAGTCCAACTAGGAGGGGAAGGAAAGAGGAGGAGGGAAGAAGGAAAGAGGGGGCTGGCCCCCAAAGCCCTAAAACAATTCGATTTGGGCCTAGGGGGGCGCACCCCATACTTCCTTGCTGCCCTTTATTTCCACTAAGGCCCATGAAGGCCCATTGACCCTCCCGGCGAATTCCCGTAACTCTCCGGTACTCCGAAAAATACCCGAATCACTCAGAACCTTTCTGGTGTCTGAATTTAGTCGTCCAATATATCGATCTTTACGTCTCGAACATTTCAAGACTCCTCGTCATGTCCCTGATCTCATCCGGGACTCCGAACTACCTTCAGTACATCAAAACACATAACTCATAATATAAATCGTCACCGAACTTTAAGCGTGCGGACCCTATGGGTTCGAGAACTATGTAGACATGACCGAGACACGTTTCCGGTCAATAACCAATAGCGGAACCTGGATGCTCATATTGGCTCCCACATATTCTACGAAGATCTTTATCGGTCAAACCGCATAACAACATACGTTGTTCGTTTTGTCACCGGTATGTTACTTGCCCGTGATTTGATCGTCGGTATCTCAATACCTAGTTCAATCTCGTTACCGGTAAGTCTCTTTACTCGTTATGTAATGCATCATCCGGCAACTAACTCATTAGTCACATTGCTTGCAAGGCTTATAGTGATGTGTGCATTACCGAGAGGGCCCAAAGATACCTCTCCGACAATCGGAGTGACAAATCCTAATGTCGAAATACGCCAACTCAACATGTACCTTCGGAGACACCTGTAGAGCTCCTTTATAATCACTCAGTTACGTTGTGACATTTGGTAGCACAGAAAGTGTTCCTCCGATAAACGGGAGTTGCATAATCTCATAGTTATAGGAACATGTATAAGTCATGAAGAAAGCAATAACAACATACTAAACGATCAAGTGCTAAGCTAACGGAATGGGTCAAGTCAATCACATCATTCTCCTAATGATGTGACCTCGTTAATTAAATGATAGCTCATGTCTATGGTTAGGAAACTTAACCATCTTTGATTAACGAGCAAGCCAAGTAGAGGCATACTAGTGACACTATGTTTGTCTATGTATTCACACATGTATTATGTTTCCAGTTAATACAATTCTAGCATGAATAATAAACATTTATCATGAAATAAGAAAATAAATAATAACTTTATTATTGCCTCTAGGGCATATTTCCTTCACACCACACATATGTTACTCCCCACTATGAAGGTAGTAACATAGACTAGTAACATATGCATGTTACTAGTCGAAATTACTCCCCAGTGTGAGTAGTCTAACAGAAGATAAACGACGACGTAGCAAAGCCCCAACTACAGCTGGCTGGCCCTGATCCCTATCCAAAATGGAGGCCGTCGTTGTCCGCACGCGACATATCAGGAGCTCCAGAGTCGCCATGTCGTCGCCCTTAGTCAGAGATATCCAATGTCGTAACAAAATAGACATTTTGAAAATGCAGTCAACCGGTTTGTTAGGGAACACCCGTTCAATGGTAAATTTGTTTCTGGTGGTCCACAGGGTCCAACACACTCTACCGCTGCCCATTCTACCGCTCTTCCCATTCTCGTCTCTCCTCTCTCCCCATTCTATCGCTGTCGGCAATGTGAGGAAAAGAGTCGGTCCTCCTTCCACCGAAACATCATGTCGTTGAAGATGGCGCATGTCGAGGTTGACCCCGTGGACGAGCGACCCGAGTCTGACGTCTAGGAAGATGTCTCCGAGTTGAAGTTAACCAAAACCGGAATTTAACCAAACCGAATAACCCCATTGTCAAAAAAATGAGATCCATCGGCACTAGCACCCAGGACAGGACATATTTTTTTATAGAAGAAGCCCACCCGGGTGAGGAACCGGAAATTCGTTCCCGACGGGATTCGGACTCTGACCGATGGGTGCACCACTGTGACCCTTTGCCACTAGGCTACAACCTAGTTCTCAATAATATGGTACGCCTAGGGTTACTCTCGAAATAAAAATTAATTCGTTGTTCAGTTGAGATTTTTTTAGAGTTTGGTGATCGGCTAGACCCGCGGTTATTTATTTTTTGAGCACAGATCTGCGGTTTTTTTTAGCGGTAGATCTGCGGTTATTACCCTCGACATGCGCCTCTTTTCTAAAAAAAGATCTGCGGTTATTACCCTGTGTTAACCTTTTTTTTTTTGAGCGATACCCGGTGTTAACCGAAGAACCCAAGAAACCGAACAAAAGTAGTTGGCCCACGGCCCATATTAACGAAGAGGCCCACCAGACACCGGCCACTAGCCATCGATCGGGCGAGCAGCGGCAAGGAGGCGGCGGCGGCGGGCGAGCAGCGGCAAGGCGGCGACTCTGCGCGTGGGCGGTGGCTCGCGAAGAGCAGCAAGGCACAGATTTCGGTGAAGGTCGAGCATTCTGTCGTCGAAGATGGTGCACGTCGAGCCCGACCCTGCGGACGAGTGGTCCGAGTCCGACGTCTCGGAAGATATCTCCGACTCCGAAGTTGGCGATGGCCTGGACTGGCTCGACGCCGTCGAGGACCCTGATGGCTCAGCCCGGCCATCCGCCGCCTTCTCGACAGTCGGAGGCGCGGCCGTGGCGCGGAGGCCGAACGCCCACGGTGGCGTGCTCTCCCGCCCCTTTCAGCCGCTCTCCAACCGCACGCAGAGGCTCGCCTCCCACATGCGGGCCACGCCCTTGGAGGTATGCAGCTTCAATTCTTCGCCTTATATAGATCCTAAGTGGTGAATTATTTGCTTGTGCATGATGTCTACAATCTCGTGTTATGGTACGTTGTGTTCAATATCTTATGTGATGGATTTTGTACCTACTCCCTCCGTTCCACAATGTAGCGCATATAGATTTTTCTAGAAGTCAAACTTTATAAACTTTGACCAAGTTTGTAGAGAAAATCATATACATCTAAAATACCAAATACGTGTGCTTAGATACATCACAACACATACTTTCATATTATATACATTTGGTATTGTAGATATAAATAGTTTTCTCTATAAACTTGGTCAAAGTTTATAAAGTTTGACTTTGTAGAAAATCTATATGCGCTACATTATGGAACGGAGGGAGTATTATTTAGGAGTGGGAAGGTAGAATGAACGTGGGGATGTCAAATTCGGTAACGACTGCAATCAGGGACAGCATAAGGGACACAGCAATTGGCAAAACAAGGAACCATGAGAAGGCCGATCGTGCTACCGTGGAACAGGTCTTTCAATGCTGTCTGCTAAGTGATATTTATTCTGTCCTATGCCTTTTGGAGCTGAGCATGTCTGCATGCACTTGCAATCCTGCATAATCCTGATGTACCATTCCATTCCCTTCCAATCGAGCTGGCGTCTGCTTGGTCAGAAAGTATCTTCTTATTTCACTTTTTTGGAACTCGTTTAATTCCCAGCTATATGTATGATCTAAATGGCACCATGAGTCACCAACTCTTTTTGTTGGAGTAATGTTGGCTACTTAAGTGAAATTTCCTGAGGTGATATTATCTAAATTATTTTGCTGATTGCAGTTTTTCATTAGGCCTGACTACCACGTTAATTATCTTTTTTTTTTGTACATACGGCTGAGGGGTAGAAGTTTCTTCTCTTATACAAGCATTAACCATGCTCTTCCTGATGCTTAGTGAAGTATCAGTTACTTTACATTTATGTAATAACTTCATCAGTGAAGTAATTCGTTTATATGCAGGCCATTGACCCAAGAACACGCATGGTTCTGTTCAAGATGTTGAATCGTGGTGATTTCAATAATATAAATGGCTGCATTTCTACAGGAAAGGAGGTAAACACTAAAATCCAGTGCATGTGCTACTGAACTATTTCCTTCGATCTGTGTATTTCTTTTCCTGCAGACCTAAAAGCGTTAGAACATTAATAAATGAAATACCAGCTCCTTGTTTGGTAAATAGAATAAAGAGAATGCTGCTCTATCTGCTGGTTTCAGTTATCTGTTTTCCCGATTGGGTATATCTACTTCCATAGTCAACATTAATCCTCTTTCTGTGCAGGCAAATGTCTATCATGCAACAAAGATAGATGGCCAGGAGCTAGCAATCAAAGTCTATAAAACCTCTGTCCTGGTCTTTAAGTAAGATTTGATTCGTTACACTTGTTTGTTACCCCCTATAGATTCTTGTTGAAACATATTGCAGCATTGTGTCATTTGGTATGCTCTTTATCCTTTTCGTACTTGTTAAAAGAATTGATCTGAAAAGGCGTGAATGGCGTTTGTTTATTGCAGGGATAGAGACAGATATGTTCAAGGAGATTATCGTTTTAGATATGGTTACTGCAAGCATAATCCCCGGAAAATGGTTAAGACCTGGGCTGAAAAGGAAATGAGAAATCTTAAACGGTGGGACATATTTTTCATGCCTTATTCATAATTTCATATTGTTTTTACTCTAGTAAGTTAGGAAGCTATTATTGTTGTGTTTAATTTTAGTAAGTTAGGGGAGCCCTCGCGAGTGGTGAAGTTGTTGCCTTGTGACCATGAGGTCATGGGTTTGAGTCCTTAAAGCAGCCTCTTGCAGAAATGCATGGAAAAGCTAAAGTGGTCAGAACCTCCCCGGACCCGTGCAAGCGGGAGCTACGTGCACTGGGCTGCCCTTTTTTTATAAAAAGATAGTCTATCACTCCTTAATTGTTTGTTCTCCTATAATTTTCTAGTATTTGAATCCATCTATTTCTCTGTAACCCTCGTTACAGAGTGAGAGCAGCTAAAATTCGATGCCCAGAACCATTGCTCCAGAAGCTTCATGTATTGGCGATGGAATTCATAGGTAATTCCACAACTTTCTTGTGTAACAATGGTATATTTGTAGTTATTTATTTTTAGTTGGAAACATGCTTATCTTGCTTGCAGGATAAAAGTATAGTTGGTATACGTTCTGATACAAATTCTTTGGTTATCCTTCAGGGAAAGGAGGTTGGGCGGCTCCTCGTCTTAAGGATGCTGCTTTGTCGGACGACAAGCTGCGTGGAGCTTACTTGGAGGTACATCCATACATGACAAGTCAAAACAGTGTTCTCTCTTAACGGGATAGCTATAAAAGGATCTGAACCATTACCTGTTGTATTGATAGTCCAACTGGATGGTTCAAAGTTGGAACTTAATATCCTTTTTATACAACTTAGCATACTCCATATATCATAATTCACATTTGAAGTATGGTTTGTTGCAAGGGACGGTGATGCCATGATGGTACCTTTTTAGCTATAACAAACTTGTTAATGTTATTTTCGTTGCACTTATCTTCCCCACTCCTCAATTGTCGGGTCATGTTTTAGTCAACAACAACAAAGCATTTTTGGGTTGTATTTTTGTCAGCGCTTTAAAAATTTAGTGAAGTTCTACAGTGCAAATACGCGCCAGCAGTCTAGTTTTCCTGGACTGAACAATGGTCAATATTTTCTAAATATAACTTTTTTGAGGAGGCTTTGTAGTTCCACCTGTTATAATGGTCATTTACATTTCCACAAGTCCTCGTGGAAAATATATTTTATGATATTTTATTCACATTGTAATCCCAGGCTCTATCTTTCATTTATTCTGTTGCTGATGTGTATTATATGTACTGTTAGTCATTATGATTTTGTCATACACTAGATTTGGGTTAAGAGAATCAAGACCGATGAAAGCTCTCATTCTTGATTACATTGCCTTCCTTGTCCAACATCAACCATTTGATCAAGTGTGAAAATATTTAATGAGGGTTCACAATCACAACAGATGTCCAAGATAGTATATTTGCATGCGAAATCTCTCTTCTTTGTACTAATCTTTCATAAATTGTTCAAATGACCAATATCGTGTTTGTTAAATCTCAATATATTTACTTTCTAAACCCAATGTGAAGCCACTACTCCTCATGAGATAAGCACATGAGACATATATAATTTCCAATTTACATTATTCAATTCATTCCAAAATATACTCTTAGGATATAAGTGAAGCACAAGAGTAAAAATAAACTACTCCAAAAGATATAAGTGAAGAACAAATAGTAGTTTAGTAAATAGGTAGCTATGTATAAACTCTCTCTAAATCAAAATTTTCAGATCTAAAGATTATATCAAACAGAAAACAAAACAAAAAGATGCTCCAAGAATAGCACATATCATGTAAAGAATTAAAAATAGCTTCGAGTGGGGCATGCCGATAGTTTTGAAGACAAAAGAGGGGATGCCATCCGAGGCGTCCCCAAGCTTAGCTTCTTGAGTCTTCCATAGATATTGCCTTGGGGTGCCTTGGGCATCCCCAATCTTTGGATCTTTCTGCTCCTTATTGTCCTCATATCATTATCTCACCCAAATCATGAAAACATCATTCACACAAAGCTTAACTCTAGAGATAGATTAGTGCAAAATAAATTCAAAACCATAGCATTCTCTTCTGTAGCGAATCATAAAAACTATAATTAAACATTGCACACTAAATGCCTACATATATTTAACATCTCTACCCACTAATATAAACATGAAATAAGCAAACATGAGCAAACAATGCAACTATATCAACAATCTATCTAAACAGAACAGTTTGTAAAGGAAGAATATATTAACATACTTCCGTAACTCCAAAAATTCTGACATATTAACCTGTAATAGAGAACTCATACATTCCTAGTGTGTACAAATTTCAAGATTTTATCATGTTTTTTTGAGATAGATGGCAACTTCATTTATACAAACAGGGATTGTTCACTATATACAATGTTTTTCATTATATGAGGAACTTCATCAAACCAGCATGACTGATACCTCCTCTTATTGATCCGGTATTGGAATATAAAAGAGTATCCGACACTTATTTCCCCAGAGGTGACCCCGGGTTATCGAACCCACACGAGGAAGATTCCATTGAAGCGATGGTCTCTAGCAAGCTTTTGTCAAAGTGTCAAATCCAACTTTTGGCTGGATCAACAAGTGTTACGTCTCCAACATATCTATAATTTTTTATTGTTCCATGCTATTATAGTATAATTCTTGGATGTTTTATATACACAATTATATATCATTTTTGGAGACTAACCTATTAACTTAGTGCACAGTGCCAGTTGCTGTTTTGGTTGTTCAGAATATCAGTACCGAATGATGTCCAAATGCCACGAAACCTTTTGGAGATTTTTTTTGGACATAAGAGACCCTAGAAGCTTCGGGAGGGGACGCGAATATGGAGTACTGGCCCACGAGGCACCATGGCGCGCACAGGGGGTAGGGCACGCCCTGGTGGCTCGTAGGGCCCATGTAGCTCCATTTGACCTAACTCTGCCTCTATAAATTCTCTAAAATCAGGAAACCAACAGAGGAGTCCATGAAATACTTTTTCCTCTACCGCAAGTTCCTATTCTCGAGAGATCCCATCCGGAGGCCTTTTCCAACACTATACCAGAGGGGGATTCGATCATGGAGGGGCTCCAGATCAACCTTGCCGCCCTTCTGATGATTCATGAGTAGTTAACCACAGACTTACGAGTCCATAGTTAGTAGCTAGATGGATTCTTCTCTCTATTTGATCTTCAATACAATGTTCTCCTCGATGTTCTTGGAATTCTATCCGATGTAATAACTTTTTGCGGTGTGTTTGTTGGGATCCTATGAATTGTGAGTTTATGATCAGATTATCCATGAATATTATATGAGTTTCTCTGAATTATTTTATGCATGATTGTTATAGCTTCGTATTTCTCTCTGATCTATTGATTTTGTTTGGTCAACTTGATTGATTTATCTTGCAATGGGAGAGGTGTTTTTTAATGGGTTTGATCTTGCAGTGCTCAATCCCAGTGACGGTAGGGGACATGACACATACTGTATCGTTGCTATTAAGGATAAAAACATGGGGTTTATTCATGCGTGAGTTACTTTGTCTACATCATGTCATGTTGCTTAAGGCGTTACTCCGTTCTTTATGAACTCAATACTCTAGATGCATGCTCGATAGCGGTCGATGTGTGGAGTAACAGTAGTAGATGCAGAATCATTTCGGTCTACTTTCTCAGACGTGATGCCTATATACATGATCATTGCCTTGGATATCGATATGATTATTTGCTTTTCTATCAATTGTACAACAGTAATTTGTTTGTCTAGCATATGCTATTTTCAAGAGAGAAGCCTATAGTGAAAACTATGGCCCCCGGGTCTACCTTTATCATATATTAAAAATCCTAAAAATACCTCAATTTTACTTTATTTATTTTATTTTGTATTTTTGTTCGATCTATCTATCACCATACAATTTAATCTTGTAAATAACCACGAAGGGATTGACAACCACTTATTCGCGTTGGGTGCGAGGATTTGTTATTTTGTGTGCAGGTGTTGCTAATGAGTTGTTGCGTGACTCTCCTACTGGGTTGATAACCTTGGTTTCATAACCGAGGGAAATACTTATGTCTATTGTACTACATCACCCCCTCCTCTTTGGGAAACCCCAACGCAGCACACAAGTAGCAGGAAGAAATTTGGGCACCGTTGCCTGGGAGACATCATCAACATCTATCAAGTACTACGCATAAACTTTCATCTCCTTGCATTTATTTTATTCGCCTTTGCCTCTTGTTTTCATTTCCTCCACTTCTAAAGTGTTTTACAAAAGTAGAAAATAGTTTCCGTTTCCCTTTTTCTTGTTTGCTCATTTTATCGTTATGGCTAGTTTACATGGAGCCCATGTAGCTCCGTTTGACCTACGCCCTAGTGGCTCGTGGGGCCCATGTAGCTCCTTTTGACCTAACTCCGCCTCTATAAATTCTCTAAAATAGGGAAACCAACAGAGGAGTCCATGAAATACTTTTTGCGCCGCCACAAGTTCCTATTCTCGAGAGATCCCACCCGGAAGCCTTTTCGGCACTCTACCGGAGGGGGATTCGATCACGGAGGGGCTCTACATCAACCTTGCCGCCCTTTTGATGATTCGTGAGTAGTTTACCACAGACCTACGGGTCCATAGGTACTAGCTAGATGGCTTCTTCTCTGTATTTGATCTTCAATCCCCGATATTCTTGGAATTATATCCGATGTAATCACTTTTTGCGGTGTGTTTGTTGGGATCCGATGAATTGTGATTTTATGACCAGATTATCCATGGATATTATTTGAGTTTTCTCTAAACTCTTTTATGCATGATTGCTATAGCTTTATATTTCTCTTCGATCTATTGATTTGGTTTGGTTAACTTGATTGATTATTTATCTTGCAATGGGAGATGTGCTTTGTAATGGGTTTGATCTTGTGGTGCTCAATCGCAGTGACAGTAGGGGACATGACACGTATTGTATCGTTGCTATTAAGGATAAAAAGATGGGTTTTATTCATGCGTGAGTTTACTTTGGTACATCATGTCATCTTGATTAAGGCGTTACTCCATTCTTTGTGAACTTAATACTCCAGATGCATGCTGGACAACGGTCGATGTGTGGAGTAATAGTGGTAGATGCGGAAATGTTTCGGTCTACTTGTCTCGAACATTATGCCTATATACATGATCATTGCCTTGGATATCGTCATGATTATTTGCTTTTCTATCAATTGCCCAATAGTAATTTGTTTACCCACCATATGCTATTTTCAAGAGAGAGACCTCTAGTCATGACGATATCCAAGGCGGTAAATGATACGTCTCCAACGTATCTATAATTTTTGATTATTCCATGCTATTATATTATCCATCTTGGATGTTTTATATACATTTTTATGCTATTTATATTATTTTTGGGACTAACCTATTAACCTAGAGCCTAGTGCCAGTTTTTGTTTTTTCCTTGTTTTTGAGTTTTGTAGAAAAGGAATATCAAACGTTGTCCAAACGAGCTAAAAATTTACGGTGATTTTTTATGGACCAGAAGAAGCCCCCGAAGCACAAGAGTTGGGCCAGAAGAGTCCCGAGTCAACGACAAGGGTGGAGGGCGCGCCCCTGCCTTGTCACTGACTCGTGGACCCCCCTGACTTGAAACCAACGCCAAAAATTCCTATAAATCCAGAAACCCCTAGAAAGAAACCTAGATGGGGAGTTCCGCCACTGCAAGCCTCTGTAG